ACATTTAGCTGACCTTTTTCCTATGTCTGCTCCAAATGTTTATGTCCATAACATATTGAAAAGCCCCTTTTAAGATCATTATAAAATGTGTATATATACAACCAGAATGAGTATTCCTAACTAGAAATGACTGTACCTCATTTAAAGAGATGTTAAACAGTTTGTTTTCAGAATATTAAGCTACATTCATCAAATTGCAAAAATAAAAAACATTTGAGATCCACATATCTACAGCAGAATTTAATATAAATGCCTCAGTTAGCAAGTTGGCAATCATCAAATGAAGCAGCCAATTGAAACTATTTTCAAGAAAATCGGTTAAGCCAAATAGTCATTAAAAATTCAGTGAATGTTATTCGATTTCTAATTAAAAATATATATAATACAACATCTCAAATAAAATTTGTTCACATATCAGCAAAACATAATAAACAAAATATAGAAAATGCAAAAAAAACAAAAAAGGTAACTAAAAAAAACTTTTCAAGAATAGAATCACCTTTAAATAAACAATTTTTGGTGAAGCCTGATCTTGCTATTTTTTCAGTGACACTTGAGAGCAAGTGTGTGTGTGTGTTGGTATATATACATATATATGATAAAATATATGCTATAATTATGGGTTAAAGTGCTCAATATAAGGGATAGAGCGAATGTAAATATAAAAGTGGACATGGAAGTCAACACTGAGAGGAGACAGTCTGTTTTATGTTAAACACAATCATCAAGCCATGTACTTGATGATTGTGCTTAGCATGATACAGACTGTTGTCTTTTATATATATATATATATATATGTATATATAGAGAGATGGCAATAGAAGTGAAATTAGGTTTCCCATCGAGGAAAACTGGCAGAAGAGTTAGTGTTACTCTCAGTTGAAATTTATAAAAACAGTTCTCCAGGAAATCAGATTTCTTAAGTTCACTAAATGTTATAGATCTTTCTACTACTGATGGGAGTTTCCTTCCAAACCTCTTGCCTAAGGTAGTGTGGAAAGTTAAAAGCTGGATTATTTTATTATTATCGCTTCCAGTTTCATGTACGACCCATTTTAGTTGTTAATTTGTCTTCAAGTAATGTAGTCTTTGTTATTCAGAAAAAAATTTTGTTTGTGGTCTTGCCATCCTTTAGTCTGATGTGGTGAACATGGACATTTCCATTGACTATAAAAGTACTTGCAAATGGGATATAAGGGAGTCATGTAGTAGTTGCAATTTTGGTTTTATTTAAAAACCTCCTGATGAGTGGATAACATTTCTGTGAATCTCTGAGATGGGAAGATAAGTTTAAATATTTTATTCTATTTATTTACTCTTAATGCTCCATTTTCTTAATATTGAGAACATTACTGCTTATCCTCTAGAAATACATTGTTTGACTATTTTGGGGGAAACATCTTTCTTTTATATATATATATATATATATAATTATTATTAAATTTTTTATTATAAAAGAGTATAATAAAAACATTGAAATCACTACACAAAAGCTTTCATGTTTGGTTGTGTCACAATTTCAATATGTTTTTATTATAATCTTTTATAATAAAAATAATAATAATAATACTTTGTGATGAGCACTTTTTTAAAACTAAATGCCATGAACAGTGGAATTTTACTCCATTTGTTCTTTCTCTCATATTTGTGTGTATATATATATATATATATATATATATAATTTTGAACAATAAAAAAAATTATTAAAAAATTAAAATCTTTAGACACACTGGGTTGTAGATTAATATTCTTTCGTTTTTTTTTTATTATTATTTCATTTAGATTCCTCAACTAGTTTCAACCAAAATGGCCATCATCGGGAGAAGAAATATTTCTGCTTGCTGGTAGCAGTAAACTACAGAAATGAATGTCTTGCTGGAGAAAATGAACTTTTGTTTGAGTTTTCATTTGTTTTTTTATTTTTTTATCTTTTTAACATGAATCTTTTAACATTCCTTGTATTGATCAAACAGTCTCTTTTAAGTTGTTATTTGAGATAAGAGCTGGATTGATACATGCTGCTCTGAATTCTCTGGTCAGTTTGACAGTTTTATTGAACCTGGTGAGGGGATGTGTCTCTGTTTAGTGTTTGTGTGTGTGTTATTTGGTTCTTGGGGAGTGAGTGAGTATGATATGTGTAAGTGTGTATATTCGTGTGGGTGTGTGTATAAGTGTGAGGCCTCCACATATACATATATATATATATATATATATATATATATATTTCAAGCATGTTTGATCAATTAATCTAGACATATTATGTTTATTTATTTTGATTTTAATCCTCTCAAATTCATGCATCAGTTTCTTAGTGCTGTTACAAAACTGATTAAGAAAGACACTGTAGTTTTGGTTATTTCTTTTATTTTCCCAAGCAGTTTCAATCTCATCCAAGATCATCTTCAGGAGTGAATTGCTAAGACAAAAAATTAATGTAATTGATAGTTGGGAATTTTCTTTGTAAATGCACATAAAATGTGCTCTGTTATGGCCAATTTAAAAATTAACATTAATATGTAAGGGAGGTAACTTAATTTATATTTTTTGGTTATTAATGTTTTAAAATACCCAACTTGCAATTTAAAAATTTTTTTTTTATACAATTTGAAAACCCCAAAACATTGCTTTTATTGACATTTTAAAATGTTGCTATACTCATAATTAATTTTGGTTGGATTTTTTTTTATATAGAGGATTAAAATAAAAATAGACATAATATGTTTAGATTATTCAACCAAACATGCTTGAATGAAGATATACTGCCTAAGTATATATTATAAATTAATTGATTTAAAATGTTTTTTTTTTCACTACACAGTTCTAACCATGTTTCAAAAAATATTAATGCTCTGTAAATTTACATTGAGCACTATTTTGTAAAAATAAAAACATCTATAAGAACACCAGGTTATATATCTTACTGTTCTTTTTATATATATATATATATATATATGTATGTATGTATATATATATATATATATATATATATATATGTATATGTATGTTTTGAACAATAAAAAATATTAAAAAATTAAAATCTTCAGACACACTGGGTTGTATATTAATATTCTTTTGTTATTATTATTTCAGTTAGATTCCTCAACTAGTTTCGGCCAACATGGCCATCATCAGGAGAAAAAAAATTTTTTGCTTGTTAGTAGTAGTGAACTACAGAAATGAATGTCTTGATGGAGAAAATGAACTCTTGTCTGTAGTTTTCATTTGTTTTTTCATTTATTTTAACATGAATTTTAGTCAAACAGTCTCTTAAGTTGATATTTAAGATAAGAGGTAGAATGATTCATGCTGCTCTGAATTCCCTTGGTCATTTTGACAGTTTTATTGGTTCCTGGAAAGGGGATGCGTCTCTGTTAAGTGTGTGTGTTATTTGGTTCTTAGGGAGTGAGTGAGTATGATGTATGTAAGTGTGTATATTTGTGTGGGTGTGTGCATAAGTGTGAGGCCTCAACACTTCTGCAAGCATATCTGTCTTGTGTGGGTGAGAAATGTGGGTAGGTCCTGATCTGTGGGTTTATATATTGATACTATCTATATTGTTAAATTTGTGATTAAGTCCATCTGGGTAGTGCATTTTTACATGCTGGATCCACTTATTTTCATGGCACTCTAAAAATCTTTCTAATGTTATCTGCTCTGAACTTTTCTATTCTCTCAATTATAGTGAATTTGGCATGGGTTTTAAAATTGTGCTTTTGTAGGTGGTAATATTGTCCCACAGGTAATAATCTTTCATGTGGAGTCTACATAATTTGATTGCAATAATTATTAATTCTGTAGTGAAAGGGTCAGTCAGATTTTCCTACATATTGTTTCTGGCATATTGTGCATTCTAGGAGGTAAATTATGTTATGACTTCTACAGTTAGAATTGTGGTAGATTTTGAAAGTAGATTTAGAGACTGAGATAATGAATGAATTCGTGTGTCTAATGTGGTTGCAGCATAAGCTTGTTTTGTTGTTACATGGTTGGAAAAATCCTGTTGTTTTTGTTTTATTACGGATTACCTTGTCCCCTGAAATGTGGTTACTACCTATGATTTATTTATGTTCTTAGGTCTACGATATGCTAGAAGGCCAGGTTCCTCAAACAATTTTTTTGAGATGTAGTATTTCCCAGCGACTTTTGATTATTTGGAATAGTGGAGGCAGAGTGGGGTTGAAAGTGGTTACTAGATGGATGCGGCTGGGTTTATTTTTAATCTTGTACATTAGGGTGTCTTCTCTAGGTGTGAAAATTGCTTTATGATTAAGTTTTCCCTGATTAAGTGTTGTTTATAGCTGTGTATTGTGAATTGATGCTCTAGATTTTGAGTGTGCTTATTTAGTTCTTTATTGTTGGAACATATCCTTCTGAGTCTAAGTGCTTGTGAATAGAGAGGTTTCTGGATGATCAGACCATCCTTTACCGGCTTATGGATGTTCTGCCTAAAATTTATGCTGGTTTTATTTGGATCAAGTTACACTTTGTTGTGGCCATTTTATATATATATATATATATATATATATATATATATATAAGTGGAAACTGAAGATTCTATGAAACAGACTGTTGTTACTCAGTGTTGACATTAGTACCCATTTTTATATTAAGATTTGCTCTATCACTAATATTGAGCACTTTTACTCATTCATATAACATACCTTAAAACTATATTTTTATCATATATTTATAGATAGATAGATAGATAGATGAACTAGAATGAAATATGGATCAAATATGATTGATGGTTTCATTTTTCAACACTTTATTTAAAGCCAGAAAATATTTCTATATTGTAAGAATTTTTTTAGATAAAAATGCTTTAGTGATACAAGTCTTACTAATTAACCCATAGAAGTGGGGGGAGAAGAGGTGGATTCATAACTTTTCCAAGGGTATCTGCACGTAAGTGAATATAATGAAGCTAACTGGAATTGGAACTTGAATCTATGATTAACAATTCCGAGCAATTATCCATTACACCACCTGTATCTCCAAACTTACAGTACCTGGTATTCTCGAGAGGTCACCTATCTAGATACTGACCAAGCTCAATGTTGCTTAACTTCAGTGATTGTATGGGAACAGGTGTTTTAATGTAATATCCCTGTAAGCCAAATGGATCAGAATCCAACAAAATGATAGGATTAGGAACAAATAGGATTTTTTTTATAAATCTAACATGTTTCACTTTTATTAAAGCTTCATCAGAGAATGATATATGAAGAAAAAGAAAGTGAAAAAATTCTAGTAATTTTAATTTTTTTATTGTTTGTTTTTCATTGGTTAAGTAGACTTCATGTGTGTCACTCTTGTCAAGAAGTGTTTCTATGTATAATTTATGCATACGTAAGTATCATAATTCTAGTTTGTCTATGTGATATTTGGATAATAATGTATATTCATTTTGTCTGTGTATGTGTGTGTCTAGTAGGCATTTTTATTTAAGTTTGGTGTTTGTTTATATGTTGACTGGGGATATTTTTTGTGAGGTTTGAAAAATTAATGTGACACTGTTTGTGGAGATAGATAATTACAAAAAGTACTTTTTAGAGACACCCACAGCCTGTATGAAATCTAGCCTCAAAAGAAGTGTGATGTCTGTTTAATAAGTTTATTTAAAACAAAGGTTTCTTTAAAAACAAAATCAAAAACAAACATTTACAAAAAATTATTAAAAAATAACAAAATTAATTTAAATAAACAAAATTTGAAAATTAATTTTTTTTCTTATAGAAATTATTATGAAAGAATATAAAACAAATTAATAAAAGAGAAAAAAATCACAGAACAAATATTTAAAGCAGAAGCAACATTTCATTTTGTTAATTTGCATATTTAACATCAGAAAGCGATTCAAGGATAGAGACGTGCAGTTTATGGTGCCAACGAAAACAATTACCATGCAATGAATTCCTTATAAACAGCAAGATGACCTAACAGCATCAATAGTGGACAGTGAGCGAACAACTTGAGCTATTTGTGAACACTACAGCAAAGAATGTTATAGATGATGATGCACATGATATAAGCTTTTGTATTGTCTACTGATTATATGCAAATTATAATTACTAAATATAATTATTTCATTACAACTTGAAATTTAAACTAAGAGATTGTATCAGACTCAAACAGATGACTGGATTGGTTCTATAAAAACACACTTGATAAAGAATTATGTTTTCAGAAGAATTTGATCAATAAAGTTTCAAATTATTTTACTTCATTTATAAAATTAGCCTAGTCTGGCACAAATATAGGAGCACCCATCAAAAATTGAACTTACTGTTCAAGTAGTACAGCTGTAAACTAAATTGCTTTCCATTCTGTTAGCGAAAGTGACTGGAATCTATTTTAGGGATTTTATGTGACTGACACACACACACACACACATATATATATGTCACACTAAAAAATTTAGACAAGTTTTGCCCACTTATTTTTAATGGTATCTTCTTAGAATTATGGACAAGTTTCTTAGTATCCTTATTAACAGAAGAAAGAAAATTACTATTCATTTTATTGCAATTATTTTTTATATTAGCACAATGTCATCATCAGGATCTTGTTTTTTCTAAGACAAAAAAATTGTTGTGCTCATCATTTTTCTAAGGCAGAATTGTTGCCTTTATCTGAAAATTAAATTTTTACATGTGAAGTGAAAAATGCTAAGGCTATGTGCTGTACAATTTTAAAATTTTATCACATCGATACATGTGTAAATGTCAAGGGAGGTAACTAAGTTACTGAAATATCGAACACAACAATTTTTTATCTTAGAAAAAACAAAACCCTGATGACATTGTGCTAATGTTGAAAGTACTCAGAATAAAATGAATATGCATCAACATGGTAATCTTTCTTCCTTTAATAAGGTTTCTAAGAAAACTTGTCTATAATTATGATAGGATCCAGTTGAAAATAAGTAGACAAAATTTGTCTAAATTATTCAATGAAACATATCTCAATGAAAGCATGCTACCAGTATATATATATATATATATATATATATATATATATATATATATATAAAAAATGATCAATAAACCATTGACCAATGTATTGTATTTATAGAAGAAAACCGTTTTAAGGCAAGCAATCTTTATAAATAAAAAATTCTTAGTCTTAGTATTATATATATATATATATATATATATATATATATATATATATATATATATATATCCCTGAGAAGGAGATTCTGGACATCAAGTGGGACTGACCGAGTTACCAGTACTAAAGTCTTTATTCATTCCCAGATTCCCAGCTTCTTTGTTCTGTTTCAGCAACACCATCTCTGGTGACTGGGTGACATATATGTCACACAAGTGGATTCCAAAAGACTTTCTGTATGGGGAACTGGCCACTGGCAAGAGAGTCGGAAAACAACATCATCTTCACTTCAAAGATGTCTGCAGAAGTCACTAGGCCTGGATGCCAACAGATGTGAGGAGGTCATGAACGATTGTCCTCGTTGGATGTGGTAACTACATAGAGGGCTGGTGCAAGAAGGGTTGCCATTGAGGAGAAGCACATTTAACATCACAGCAACAAGGCAACAGTAAAGGGAAAGTTTCATGACAGTGCAGTCACGACTGCGGAGACTGTCACTCTTTGTGGGTCTGTGCAGATACTATGCTACCAACTCCAAATGAATCAGAACTCTCTAGGCATAGATCCAGGATCTATTAAGACTAAGACATGCCCCCCAAGATGCACACTTTTATAGAGGGTGTATAATATGATACTATATTTGTGTTAGATATTAGATTGAGTTATAAGTAATTTCTGTTTTTGAGAACCAATTGTAATGACAATGGTATCATCCTAATGACTTATTATGTGTCAGTTTGGAATATATTTAGAGTACACTGACATAACTGACATTTTGAATGGTAGTAGCAGCATACAGATTGGATTAAAAGAAAAATGTTCTTTTTTTTTTCTATCACACTGCACTCAGCAAGAATAATAGAAAAAAAAAAACAGGATATCAGTTGGCCTGTTCTCTGTTACCGACCATATTCACTTGACATTGCAACTGGTTATTAACTTTTTTGACCACTGATGAGGAAAACTCCCCCCCCCCAGTGAAAACCACATTTAAGAGCTCATTGATAATTTCTCACATCAAAATCACAATCAAAATCTGCAGAATTTTACTTAACAGATATCAAAGAGCTTCTGGATAAGTGGCAGCACATTATTGCAAATAATTGTGAATATATGTATTTTTCAGTATGCATACATCACTACCAAATATAACACAAGGTTAGTTTAAAGTTGGTTTAACACCAACATCATGGAAAAATTGAATAAACCCAGTCTCCTCCTCAAGGAGTAGTACTGTCTGGGAGCTTCCATCCCCCCCCTGGTCTTGAGCTTATATTATTTGAAACGTCCCCAGTAAACATGCCAGAATTGAATAAAATAAAATTGTACTTTATTTTTTAAACAAAAATTGAAATTATTTATGTCTAAACGTAATAAATGTATTTTCGTTTTACACCTATGATACACTACATGACTGGAAAGAATGTTAAGGTGTATTTTTTTAAAGTCCAGCCAATATGCAAATTAGGCATTATTCATTATTCATGCAATGATCAGGTGTGTTTGTTACCACTGCATTTTAATTTAATGAACTAATTTTAAGTTAATGATCTAATCATAAAAAAAAAATTTTTTTTTTTTTTTCTTTTTTTAACTGTGCAGTTCAGATGAGGTTGATAAGCAACCGCTACCAACAATGGAGAAGGAAAACAGATCACTAGATATTCACATACTCTGCGTTTACGCTGAAAGGGTCTCTCTTCAGTTTCTGTGTCTTCAGAATTTTGAGATTCTTCCAGTTCATTCTGCTGCCTCACCTGGAGTTGAAACATTTTACTGATGAACCACAAATGGTTTTCATGAAAATATATACTCTTAGGTGCTTAATACAAAATGGGGGGGGGTCTTAATAGTTGGATGGGGGTCAGAACTTTTCTCAATATACATTCAATATTTTAATAAAAAGGAAAGCCAGAAAAGAATGTAAGTAATGTTTTTTTAGAACTACTATTCCAAGACTTCTTGCACTTTCTGACAGCATGAAAAGCCCTTGCCAACTTTCAGTAGCAAGCAGAAGGTGGGCACAGAGGGTGCAACAGCCCCAGGTATCCATATTGAGGGGGCATCCAATTGAGGAGTGAAATAAAAATTTAGTTCATATTTAATTTGATAAAGTGTTTATTTCATGTTTCATCCATTTTTATGTATTTAATGTCTTCCTTTTCTCACATTTCTGAGTACTACATGCCATAGTCACCCCCAACACCCTTAGGGTTTTACAATCAAGGAGTTTGTCCTGGGCAACACCAAACATCATCAAACCTCTGCACATCAATGCCAACTTTACTATGTGAAAAAGCTTGCATAAATTATATACTGTTTTGCATAACTCATATAAATATCAAAACCATATTCATCCATTGCCATGTTATCAGAAAAGTGCAAGAAATCCTTGGCTGTGATTGCTGTCAAGCTTAAAAAATGAAACTCCTTGTTTATACAATTTATTCAAACAATCATAAAAGTGTGTAAGTAAAAACTTGAACCAATTATAATAGTTACTGTTTCCTATTTGAGCCCTGTTGATAAGTGGTACATTAATAAATTGGGTGATTTTAATAAGCTACCGGGTTCCCAGAATTTGCTAAAAAAAAAAAACAAACAAAAAAAACACATCCCCTCACTTTTATTAAGCACCTAAGAGTACAAATTAAAGAAGCCATTTTGTGTACTTATATACTTTATGAACCACATACCTGCACACAGATATTCAAATCAAGGTTAGGTAAACATTTGATATGATAAAGAATACATAAAAAGAATTTATTGAAAATAAAAGTGAAATGCACTTTGATATTTTCCAGAAAGGAAAAACCAGTTTAAATAAAAGACAAACAATATTTTGAGAAAAATGCACAAATAAAATTAAAAAAAAAAGATTTAAAAAATTTGAAAACCTGTCTTTTTTCTTTTAGTTTATACAAGGTTTTAGTATTTTCTTATAAAATTTTTCATTGATTAAAAATATTTTTGGAAATACATCAG